GGGGGGGGGGGTGTACTCATAGTCGTGCATGCCGTAGTCGTTTGACCATTGACCTCGCATCCCTACAAAGCCGGGACGGAGCACGCCGGGTTCTCACCGGACCAGGCTCTCACATCACCAAGCGCGAAGCGCCGTGAGGTATTTGGCGAGTCGCATGAAGGGTGAGCTGCCATCCTGCTAAGGGTGTTCGGCATCTTGTGCTTACTTCCTTGCGTACGGATGACAGCTACGTATGACTTAATTTATTTTCTGGTGCTTTCACTTCCAGAGACAGTTGTAAGCACTGTGTAACTGCCTCGAGGAAGCTTGACCATTTTAACACAACGTGGTACGATCATCCCCCGTTGCGCGGAGTGAGGTTTCTCCACCCCGCACAACATGATCTACTCGACCACCATTATGGTTACCGCCAAAAAAAAAACCGAGGTAAAAAAAAAAAAAAACGGTAACCTGGTTGCCGAGTTCACGAAGTGAATTGGCTTGTTTTACAACGTCGTTGCCAAGCGACGAAAACCCAATCCCGATGGCAAACACCGAGTGGGGGGCTTGTTTTACAACGTCGTTGCCAAGCGACGAAAACCCAAACCCCGATGGCAAACACCGTTTAACGGGGGGGCAGAAAAATACAAAAATACAGGTAGACTAACGTACTGTAGTCAAACTCCTGGCGCCAAGCAAAGGTTGCTGCGTGGACTGACTCGGCGAAAGACTGAAGAAGGCCATACTACATACATGTAACGGTTGCTCTTCGTGCTGAAGTGAGGTGGTGTGGAGCTGTCTGGGCATGCCAATCGTGTTTGCTTTGATGTGTGTGATAAGTAGTAACAGTTGCAGACGTCTGCAGACAACCGCTTGCTGCGCATACACACACAGAGAGATGGCGGCCTATAGAAGCTTGCGTTTGTTTGTAGCTGCAATAACACTGGCACTTCATTGTTCAGCTGGTTAGCGCTGCCGATGCTAACAACAAAGACATACACACACATTGGTCCTCATAGATGCCACCATCGTCGTCCCTGCAGCGAGCAGAAGCGTAAAGAAAAAATCCAAACGCCACGATCCGCCCTCAACGAGATGTTCGTGAGGTCTAGCCCTGGTGTGAGCCGGCGGACTTCGGGGGTTGCTGTTTGACTCTGTGTAATAGCTTGCAAGAGAGAAGACACGAAGGCGAGAGGGAGATAGAAGGAGGGGTGCCCCAAAACTTCGACAGGAAACAGGGATTCCACACTATCATCCAAAGCTTCTCACTACGTACCCTCCAGGTACATCCCAACTGCGTCCAATGTAACGGCTACTTTCGACGAACACGAGAGATTATCTACAGTAGCAGTCGTCTAGCTCTGCCGTCCTTACTGCTGATACTTTTTTGGCGTAACGGAGGTGGTCTTGGCAAAGGCACCAAAACCTAGCCTGCGGAGATTACAACGGGGGTGATTGTGATG